GGAGCCAAGTTTTGACAAGAGTTTCAAGAATGAGGCGAAACCCATAAATACGGCACTTGAACTTGAGCATTGTAAAGCTTAATGGACTTTACGTGTCAACAAAGCATGCGTTAAAAAAAAATAATTTAAAAATTTAAATTATTAAATAAGATTTAAAATATAATTTATATTATTTTTTAAAAAATATTTTAAACTTAACATTTGTAAAGTGACAACACATCAAATGCATGCCACCCAGTCAGCACCAAACATGTTATGCAAGATGTTGTAGCCAAAACCAAACAAGACATGCAGGAAGTTATAACACAATTTGTATACCAGCTGCTTGCTACTCTAGCAGCTGTAACAAGATTTGTAAATACAACAGAATAAATCTTTTACATTCTTTCTCTCATTCTATTATAAGAATATAGGACGATATAGTATGTTAGAGGTTGTTATACTAAGTTGTATATAAATACACTAGTACTCGTGTAAATAAATAGTTTTGTAGTGTGAAGTAATTTTGATATACAAAGTATTATTTCATCCTTCATGTAAATTCTTTCTTCCTTCATCTTTTCATATCATCTTCAATTTGTATCATGATATCAGAGCCCTAGAGAATAATATCTATGAAGGATTTTTGAGAACATCAATTTTCACCAAATATACATATTAACTCAAACACTACCCATGCAACAACCACTCAACAATATTTGAATCTTAACAATCACAACAATCCTTTTCGACTAGACACCTGAGACAACCCAACCATAATCCTGGTAACGGGGCTATTTAATGGCAATAACTATGCAACTTGGTCTCATACAATATAGAGAGCTCTTCGAGCCAAGAATAAACTGACATTTATCACAGGAACCATTAACTAACTAACTGACCAAACAGACCCTCCTTTTGATTTATTTGAATGATGTAATGACATGGTGGTTTCATGGCTTCAGAATTCTATCAGCATATCTATCAGATCTAGCATAACACTTCTTGACAGTGCTCGAGATATCTGGCTTGATCTGCAAGATCATTTTTCACATCAAAATGGTCCACGCATTTATCAATTGAAGAAAACCTTAGCCAATCTATCACAAAAAATGATATTGTCAGTGTTTACTATGGTAAGCTGAAAACCATTTGGGATGAAACATTGATTTATGATCCTATTCCAACTTCTAATTGTGGTGCCATGAAAATTATCTCTGATCGTTATCAGCAAGATTATGTCTTTCAATTTTTAATGGGATTGAATGACTCTTATTCTCCTATACGGGACTAAATCATGTTGCTTGATCCCATTCCCACCATTGCTCATGTCTTTTCCATCATTCAGCAACAGGAACGCCAACATCAACTTGCTTCTCCTTCCACACAACATGATGCTATAGCTTTTGCAGTTAGAAGACAATATTCATTTCCTGCTAAATATCCATTACACTCTAAGTTCAAAACGGAATGCACCTACTATACTCATTGCAAGATTACTGGACACATGTTGGACACTTGTTTCAAGGTTGGCAATGCTGCAGCTCCTATTTGTTCTTATTGCAATCTCACTGGTCACACAATGGAAAAGTGTTATAAATTACATGGCTATCCTCTAGGCCACAAACTCTTCACTAAGCCCAGAGGTGCACATGTTCTTGCAACACAATCAACTTTAGCTCCTGTTGCTACTATTGACAATTCCAGTAATATTTGGATAGGTTTGACTCAGGCACAATATCACCAACTTATGGCTCTGTTTCCCTTAGGAACTTCTTCCACTGCTTAGCCCTCGACTCCACTTGATCCCTTTTTCCTTCCTCCTATACCTGACATCAATTTTTGTTTGAATGCTCATGCACACACTAATCTTTCTCTTTCCCATGCACCTTGGATCATCGATATAGGAGCCACAAACCATATGGTTTGCTGTACCTCTTTTTTTACTACCATTACCTCTGTTATTTCTTAGCCTGTTGAATTGCCAAATAACACACACATTTTTGCCACACATATTGGCACAATCCAATTAACGCCTTTAATTTATCTCACATAAGCTCTCTGTATTACTTCTTTTAATTTCAATTTGCTTTCAGTAAAAAAATTATCCACCTATCTTATCTGTTATGTTATGTTTCTCTTTGATTTTTGCTTTATTCAGGACCTTTTATCTTGGACAACGATTAGGAAGGGTGAAGTAAGGAATGGACTCTATCATTTTGTTAACTCTCCTGTCTCTCCATCCCTCCTGGTTTATACATTATCCCAATTTTCCATTTCACAATGTTCTGTTATAGCTTCTTCTTTGTCTAAACAAATTAATTTTGATTTGTGGCATTGTCATTTAGGCCATCCATCTTTTCCTGTTTTGTCTTCAATCACAGATCCTATAATAAAGAATAACATCTTCATTATCAATGAAAAACCTTGCAACATTTGTCCCTTATCAAAACTTCATCGCTTACCCTTTTCTTATAGCACTTACTATGTATCGTAACCTTTTAAAATTGTGCATTGTGACCTATGAGGACCCTGCTCCATTCCTTTCTATGATGGTTTCAAATATTTTCTCACTTTAGTTGATTGTTTCACCCACAATACATGGATATATCTTCTCCCCACTAAAGCAGAAACTAAACGTAACATAGAATCTTTTGCCAATTTAGTTGACACTCAGTTTAATTGTAAAATCAAAATCTTACGAAGTGATAATGGAAGGGAATTTCACATGAAAGATTTTTTTCATACCAAAGACATTATTCACCAAACCAACTATGTTAAAATGTCTCAACAAAATGAGATTGTAAAATGCAAACACCAACACTTTCTTAATGTTGCCTGAGCACTAAGATTTCAAGCCAACCTTCCACTTCAATACTGGAGTGATTGTGTCTTAACAACCACATATCTTATCAATCGCATTCATAGCCTCTTATTTAAACATAAGACACCTTTTGAACTTCTATTCAATCAACCTCCCATTTATGCACATTTGAGTAGCCGCATATGCATATTTCTTGGATATCCTTTCAGCATTAAAGGTTATAAATTACTTGATCTGCGGTCTTATACTACATTCATATCTAGACATGTTGTCTTTCATGAATCTATTTTTCCTTTCACTCTTTCAAACTTCCATTTAACAACATTACCTTTGTGTTTACTAAACCTTTACCCAACACTCTTGACTTTCCTATTGCTATTTCTAGCCCTGATGTTTCTGCTCCATCTCCTTCCACCATTATCACCTAGCCAGCAATTGATGATTCTGTCATCTCCACATCAAACACCACACCTGCCCTTATACCTCTTTTTGATCCTATTCTTCACAGATCTACTAGGGTCAGACGAGCATCATGGTATTTGCAAGACTTTCATCACCACCAGTCCTCCTCTGCTATGCCTTCTCAGTCACTGTCCAAGTGTTCTGCTTCCATCACTGATAATCCTTACTCTTTGGACAACTTTCTTGCTTATAAAAGGTTTTCTCCATCATTTACTACTTTTTCCACTTCTGTTTCAATGCACACTCTATATACAAACAAGCCATGAAACATCCAGGTTGGTGTAAAGCCATGAGTGATGAATTGATTACCTTGGAATATAATAAAACCTGGACTGTTATTGATCTACCTCGTGGTAAGGTTGTTATTGCTTGTAAATATGTTTACAAGACTAAGTTTCATGCTAATGGCAGTATTGAGAGACTAAAGGCTCAGCTTGTCGATAAAGGTTTTTCACAGCAAGCTGGAATTGACTATATAGAAACTTTCTCCCCTGTCGCAAAGCTTGTCACCTTCAGAGTTCTTCTTTTTGTCATAGCAATAAATGGGTGGTCTTTTTTACAATTTGATGTTAACAATGCCTTTCTTCACGGTGATCTAGAGGAAGAAATCTACATGCACAAACCTCCTAGCTACTTTATCAGTGGCTTTAATCAAGTCTATAAGTTTTTTAAGAGTCTATATGGACTCAAGCAAGCTTCTCGCAAAGGTATTCCAAACTCTCCTTTTCTCTCATTACTTTTGGTTTTACACAATCCAAAGCTGACTATAGTCTGTTTACTAAAGTGGTTGGCACCTCCTTTCTTGCATTACTGGTTTATATTGACGATATCATTGTTATTGGTAATTGTTCCTCTTCCATTGCATCACTTAAAACCTTCCTGCATAAACAATTTCAAATTAAAGATCTTGGTTGCTTACGATATTTTCTCAGACTCTAGATCCTCGACAGGTATTCATCTCAGTCAAAGAAAGTATGCTCTCGACATCTTGGCTGATTCAGGTACCTTAGCCAGGAAACCTCTCAAATTGTCCTTTGAACAAAACTTCAAGCTCAGCAAGACTTCTGGGGTTCCATTATCAGATCCCAGCACCTATCGCCGCCTCATTGGCCATCTTTTATATCTCACCATCATCAAACCAAATATTTGTTATCTTGTTCAAATTCTTAGTCAGTATATAGACACTCCTATGACTACACATCTCGCAACAGCTCATCGAATCCTTCATTACATCAAGTCTGCACATGGCTAGGGCATTCTATTGTCTTCTTCTTCACATATTCAACTTAGAGCCTTTTGTGACTCTGATTGGGCCTCATGTCTTGATACTAGGCAGTCAGTCAAGGGTTACTGTATATTTCTTAGCAACTCCCTTATTTCTTGGAAATTCAAGAAACAATCCATCGTATCCCACTCCTTAGCTGAGACAGAATATCAGTCTATGGCTTCCACTTGCTCAGAACTAACATGGCTTCGTTATCTCCTTCAAGACCTTCATGTATCTCATCCTCAAGCAACCCAGCTTTACTATGACAATCAGGCTGCCTTACACATTGCTGCTAATCTAGTTTTCCATGAACGAACAAAACATATTGAATTGGATTTTCGTGCCATTCGTGACAAGATACAAGATAGCAGCATTACAACAAGATAGAAGCATTACAACTACTCATGTTGCCTCTAGGTGTCAACTTGCAGACATCTTTACCAAAGTTATTCCTTCTTCTATTTTTCAAACACACTTATCCAATATGGGAATAGTTAATATCTATTCTCCATCTTGTAGGGGGTATTAGATGACATACCAAATGCATGCCACCCAGCCAGCACCAAGCATGTCATACAGGACGTTGTAGCTAATACCAAGTAGGACATGCAAGATGTTACAACACGATATGCACACCAGCCGCTTGCCGCTCTGGCAGTAACAAGATTTGTAAATGCAACAGAATAAATCTTTTGCATTCCTTCTCCCATTCTGTTATAAGAATATAAGACGATATAGTGTGTTAGATGTTGTTATACTAAGTAGGGGTGAGCATTTTCGGTTCGGTTCGGTTTTGGACTAAAATAAGTAATTGAACCGAAATTATTTTTTTTCAAGTTTTTGAACTGAACCAAACCGAAAACTGGTTCAAACCAACAATATTCGGTTCAGTCCGGTTTGGTTTTTTTCCTTCCAAACCAATATAAACCGAAAATTATTTCTGAGTTTTTTCACTAATTATATTTTTTCAGGGATTTTATTTTTGTTTTATTTCTAATTTTACAGATTTGTGTTTTTTGTGTATTTTCTGAGAAATTTTTGCTTTCTCAACAGGTATGGTTCTTTTTTAAATTGATTGGGCATGCATGATATCCAGAAATTCAACCCCGATTTTCTTTTTGTTAGATCTTTGTCCAAAAATTAAACTTTGCAAAAAGATACACAAAACAAAAGGATAGAACAGAAGTCATTTGACTGGAGAACAAAAAATACATAGAAAATATCAAAAGATATCTGTTATTAAAATGTAAAATCATCAAAACATTATTATTTGAAAAAGAGGAACAAATCAAAGAGGAAGGGCCAAACCCTTACACACTAGTTTAAAAAATTCCTTTTTTTTTCCTTTCCAATCTTCCCTCCACTTCGTTTTGGAGCCACCACCACACACCTGCAAAGAAAAAACCTTAAACTTACTCTCAATGGCGACCGATTCAACCCAGTTGCACCATCTCAATCTCTTTCTCCAATCAAAGAGGAGAGATGCATAGAGAAGGGGAGAGGAGAGATACAGAGAGAAAAGGGAGGGCGAGGGGAGAGATGCATAAAGAAGGGGGTGGTGGCTGCTCTTGTGTGCAGGGAATGCAGCACCAACTCAATCTCCTTCTCCAATCAAGGAGGAGGGATGCATAGAGGAGGAGAGGGCGGCTGCTTTTATGTGCAGGGAATGTAGAGAGCAAAGTTTAAGTTTTAGGTTTAGGGTTAGAAAAAGTATTCTATTTATAGTTGTTTTTTAAAGGTTGGTCTGATTGAATCGGTTCGGTTCGGTTTAATCGGTTTTAGATTTTAGAAACCGAAACCGAACCAAATTTTTTTTGTAATTTTTTAATCAGTTAACTCGATTTTTTTTTTCGGTTCGGTTTTTTTGGTTATTTTTTTTCCTGTTTTCTCGGTTTTCTCAGTTTATCGGTTTTTTTACTCACCCCTAATACTAAGCTGTATATAAATACATCAGTACTCATGTAAAGAAATAGTCATATTATTTTCAGTTTGTATTATAAAGATGTATATTATATTATATTAATTTTTATTAAATAAATAACAATAATAAATTTTAAATTCATGACTTTTTGATTATTAAGATCTTGATATCATATCAAATAATTAATTTAATTTAAAAAATTAAATTATTAAATTAAATTTTAAAATATAATTTATATTATTTTTTAATAACATGTTTATTGTTTTATATAATTTATATTATTTTTTAATAACATTGTTTCATGCGTTAAGAAATGATGATGGAGCTGTGGAATTGAATTGAATGAAAAGAGTGACCATCAACAAGACAACGCGCATTCTCTGTCTTACATCATGGCTGCACTCCACCAGTTGTTCATCGTGACATATGAAGCAACAAAAACTCTATTGAATTAAGATTTGAAGGCTTTTGTTGCTGATTTTGGTGTGGCTAGACTTCTTGATCCTGATTCATCGAACAACCTTCTGTTCTTGATGGATCCTATGGATACATTGCTCCGGGTAAAAATATTTCTTGTTATTATACTGTGTACCATCATTCATGCATGGTGAGGGAAGCCAGAATCCTATCACAAATAAAATAGTTTACTTATTTTAAAATAATTAATAATTTTTTTTTAAAAATATTTCTCAAGATAGATCACGTTAGAAAAAAATAAAATTAATTAATTATTATATATACAACTTTAAAATAAAATAATAATTTTATTCATGGTTACTTTTATTTATCACTTGAAAATGATATCAGAAAGTAATTATTTTATATATTACATGACATTAAATAAAAAATGTGAATTTTTTTTAATAAACTAAAATAGTTACTTTAGTTTACCACTGTTTATCATGTAATAAATTAATATTTGATTTATTACAAAAAAAATAAATAAAAAAATTAGTCGTTTATATTACTTGGAAAGAAAATAATTATTTTTCCAAGTTATAAATGAAATGAAGCGTTTGTATCTTTTACAAAGTAATGCGTTACTTGTGCTGAATCAAACTTACCAAATGCAAAACTTGGCGTCAGTGGCATAACTAGGAAGTTTTCGTAGGGTGCCAAAAAATGTATCTAGATTGTAATTGTAATATAGGTTTGTGTGTGTATTAATTGCCTTTTATTACCATTTCTTTTATTCTAAAAATATTTTCTGTGCTCTAAATCATGACAACTTTCTCTATAATGAGTTTTTTAATATAAAAGAAAAGGGAATTATACTTGCTTTAAATAATAAACTAGAATTTTTCTTTAAAATAAGAGAATTACTATAAACATACTTTTTTGGCTATTAATATATTTGCTTTTCAATCTCAAGAAATGGGTTATATGAATAATGACACGGTGTTATTGTGAATAAAAAGGTATATAAATAGAAAGCAATGTGATGATGTTCCAGAGTCTCCTATGTTTAAGAATGAAAATCTTGAGTATTTGAATAATAGATGATTATACATTCACTTTTATATTTTCTTTTTTAAAATTCACAAAATTGATAGTTGATTATAAAAGATCAGATATTTATAAAATAATTTTTATTGATGGGATTTAGAAACTCTCTAATAATAAAATCAATAAATTTTTTATAAGAGATTACAATAAATGAAAGAATAAGCTTTTTATTCAAGAACAAAAATATTTTTTTATTTATATATGATAAATATTTTGAAAATAAAAATATGAATACTTTATAGAATAAAAAAGCATGTATACCCTTTACCTTAATAGTTTAAAGAACATTTATAGTCCATGAATTTTGTTGTTTTGTTGAGGGACAAAAAGTCATTTCCTCTTGAAAACATAGTCGAAAAGAAATATCATTTACACAACATTAATGTTGATAGGAATACAAAAAACCAATAAGATATTTTTATATATTATTTCGTACGTAGCATTAATGTATAAAATAGCCTTATGACTCGATATTGGGTCTATAAAAACTTTCCATTCCATATGTATTTAGTCTTGAAATGATTCCAAACCTAAAAATATTGGGTTTGGTGTTTTGTTAAACCTATAGACAATAGGGCTCAGCTTGTAGCCGAGTATAAGGATATTGGGTTTGATATTTTATCCAACTAATATGCACTCGAACTTAACGTGTAGATGAGCCCATATGTATTAGGTCTAACATCTTAACACACCCTTAGGTAATTGGACTCATTGCATAACAGAGCTCAAGAATGTTGGGTTTAGCATCTTGTCAAATCTATAGATACATGAGCTCAACACATAGATGAGCCCAAATATATTAAGTCTAACATCTTACTAGACCCTCTAACAATTAAGCTTAATGCACAGTTGAGTTTAATGGTGTTGAGTTTAATGGTGTTGAGTTTGGTATATTTTAGGACTTTGAAGATTGAATTAAGACAAAAATTTATTTAAGAGCTTAATTGAGAATTTTTATAGAATTGACAAACTTATTAGATGTTTTTCTTTTTAAAAAAACTTTCAAACGTATTAATTTACTTTCGCTATTAAATGAACTTTTCATGTTTTATTTTAGTTTATGATGCTTCATTGTACTAATAATGAAACATTCTAGATTTTTTATCTCAATTTTTTCTTTTTTAATATTTCTTTATAAATTTTTTCCTTTTAATTTTATCATTCAATATTTTATTGATTTTGAATCGGTCATCATAACATATTTTGGTTTGTTTTATATAAAGTTATCGTAGTCTTAAACAAACATTCTGATATTTGATTGATACTTGATTTTTCAAGTGTTGCCTTTTGATATCATATTATTAGATAAAAAAAATTTAAAAAGCTTTTAAACTCAATAGAATCCATGATCTAGGTTAGGGGTTTTGCTAGTTAATTCGTGAAGCTCAAATTGATCAAATAGGTCAATGTCTTAATATTTAAAAAAATATATAATCTTGAAATTTTCTTAAAGTTATACCATGCTTTTACTTGTCGTTTAGGTTGCTTTTAGACCCGCCAAGTCAATTAAGTTATCTAGAGTTAGTGGGTTAATTTTAAATCTGGGTTAGAAAAGGAATCGAGTCAAAAGGTTTCAAGGTTGACTCGCGAGGTCAAAGTTAATAACAATGTTAAATAGTTTTCTTTTTTAAAATTTCATCTTTTAATTTTTTTTTCTTTCAATTAAATCCTTTTTTACTCTTTTTTTTTAATCAATTTTATCCTTCAAAGATTTAGTTGATTTTGAATTGGTATACATAATTCGTTTCAGTTAATTTTCTTTAAGGTTATCATAATCTTAAATAAATGTCCTAATGTTTTGGTATTTACTTTTATGAATATCTATTTTTATTATTATAGTAAAAAATAAAATTATTAAATTCAATAAAACTCATAATCTTGATTACAAGTTTAACATATTACATTTTCCTTTATGAGATCATGATAATTCAATATAAAATGAATCAATCTAATGTTGAAG